ATTTATATAACCCTTTTGCTGATTTTTAAAGTGTTACATAAACAGGACAGGTGAAATATTTTCATGTGTTTATGGTTGCTTTACATGATAAGACCTAGGTTTACAATTTATGATTAAAACTCTATCTACACAACATATATAGACATAAAATGTAAAAACTTAAATATCTTAGAAACAGTAGCCAGTTGTTTTAATTGTCATATTTGAATTCAGCACATCAAAATACATAATAAATAGCACATTTTATCTCGGAAGCAGACGACTTCTCAAAAATTGTAGACCAGTGTTATTAGTGTAACAGTGACCCCATAAGCCTGTGCTTGAGAAAGTATTTTTCAGAATTAACAACAATGGTTCTAGAGATAAATCCATTCAGTATCTAAATAGAGTATTTGAGATTATGATCATGAAAAGCGAAATAAATGGTCAGCGATAAGTTTTCAACTGGCTCTTGCCAAGCCAATGCCACTTTCTTACTGCTGAGAACATAAGATTTATTTGCACTTTTGCTCCAACAGTTGAAATGTATTTTATCCTGGTATGATTATATGACAAGTTATAAAAACAATGCAGTTGCAAAGCCGCAGTAAAGTGAGAAAGGATTTGGGGAGTGACATTATGGATTATGTAACTAATGAAAATACAGTGGAATGTCAGTTGGAATAGGCCAAAATTAAGTGGAGTTGCTAAGCATGAGGAAACAGCAGGCCACTCACACAAACAAGAATTGAGTCTAGGATGCTTTTGTAATTAAGTACCTATCACTTAGCTGTTCCTACACCATCTTTGCTTTCTAGGAGTCCTGAACATTAGTTTGCATGTAACAAGATGAAATGAAAAATGTGAAATGTCTTTTTGTGGATGTGATTAAACCAATGAAAACTTTTGAACTCTAGCTCCAGCTCTGTCTAAGAGAGGTAGAGCAGAAGATTGATTATTCAATAACAAAAGCCTATATTTTAAAAAGGTATAGACTTTAGCCTCCATAGCAAGGAAATTCAGAGATAATACTGAAAAATATGGGCTGACAGTTCAATTTTTTGACACTGAGTGTGGACAAAAACCAATCTGTCTAGATTTTTACCATGGTTGCAAGTTGCCTGACCTTTTGTGGTATAAATCAGGTTTCAAGTTTGGTGATGGGAAAGTTTAAAATGTTTTCAACTAATCCCCTTCCTGTTATTTTTGAAGGACTGCTTGGTTTCACCTGAAGATCTGAAAATGTAAGTATGCCCCTAAATTCCAAGAGGCACTAGAAAATTTCTGGGTAAAACTGCATGAATCATCTAACCATCTTTCACAACTAAAACTATTGATGTTTTCTTTCTTTGCCACAAATGTTAACAATAATTGCTTTCTTCACCCCTGAAATAATATACTTCCAATAATCATAGCAGCTGTGAGAACTTAATTCTTGATGGAGATAGTCTAACCAATGGCTAATAGAGAACATGCTAGACTGACAGGAACAGCTTTTCCTGAATGCTGCCTTTCTCCATTCAAGTTTTCAGAGTTTCAAATATCTTTACAGGGTTTATTTAACTTTCACAGAAAGAACGTATCCTTAACAAGAAGTTTTTATAGTTAAAAACATCAGTTATGTATGGCATGATGTGAGAAATACAATGTTTTCTCTTTTTTTTTTGTTGATTATACAATTTTTGATGGCTTGTGTCACTCAAACACAGTTTCAAATGCTGAAAGGTCTTTATGATGCTCATATAGTGCTGGCTATATGAGAAACAAACTTTCCCCTTGGCCACTAGAGGCCACTGCTGCAGCAGGGATCAGGTACAGCCAGGAAAGCACAGAGTGAAAAAGTATTTAAGACAAAATTAAGGTGTACATCAGGATCACATAGAATTGTCATCTTCATTAGTGAAATAAGTATATTAAAATGCAATTTTGCTTTGCCTAACATAGCACCCAGCAAACTGATCTAATTTTGCAACACTACTTCATATATAGATATCTAGTGCTACAAGAATCAAGTCTTTAATAGATGTTCTAGAGTGTGTGTGTTTAAACTCTTTATTTAAATTGTTTGCATAGTAAGGAACACAGCATTAGATGTGGGACACATGGTGATCTGTATATCAGAGCACTTACAGCACACATTATATATAAAACTTTCCAGGAGGCTAGTGGAATAAGCCTCCCCAAAAATGTTTTTGGCTGGATAGGGCTAAAAATAAATCTTGCCCACCTTACCCACACAAGCAGACCCATTGAATTTCACAGGGCAAGAGAGGAGGGAAGCCAATCTCTCTCCAGAAAGCAGCTTAGCCTTGTCTTGAGCCACAAGGCCAGTAAAATGTCATAATCACAATTAGTTCATGGGGTCATAAGAGGGCATAGTTTAGGTGCCTTTAACTCTGCATTTCCATGCCTAGCTTTCGACCTACCTTCCATACTTGTTTTGGAGATACAGTAACATAACAATACAACTAATAGGGTTGGCCTCTTGCAGCCTGAGCACTTCTGTCTCCGCCCCACCATGGCCAGAGATCTCTTTGCAACACCCTTCTCTATTCCCCTCTTCAGGGCCCCTTAATGACTCACTCTCTCCAAAGTAATTAAAACATTCCCCACCTAGGATCCAATTTATTTAATCCTTACACACTGGCTCTCCATCCTCCAACCCCAGTTGGCTGCTTCTCTCTCCCTTACATAGGAAGTCTCCAGCCCTTCCTCACAGGCCCCAGTCCTAATCTGAAGTCTCTCTCCAAGCAACTGTTTGAGCCTCCAGGCCCAAGCCCCCTTGAGTATCTCCCACCCCTTAAATAGGGAGTCCCCAGAAGAGCCCTGCAGCAGGTCCAGGATCCCACAGGACCCATTACCATAAAAACAGGATTAAAAATAGTCCCATGCAGGGCTCTGGTAGCTCTACTTCCTAGAGCTGGGTCCTAAAGTCAATAGTCACTCCTAGACTTTACCTGGCTGGAGTCCTGGCTCTGACTTCCTCCTACCTTAGCAGGCTATTCCTAAGTCCTTCTAGCTAGGGCAACTCTCCTCATCTCAGGAGCTTTCCTGCAAGAGCCTTACCCTTATCATTGCCACAGCCTCCTGGATTCCCCCCTCTGCAGCTTCATGTTGCCCTTTATAGGGGAATCAGCTGCCCTCCATCAGGCCCCTGTTAATGACACAAGTGGGGTGGAGCAGTCCCTTCAGTAATTGGGGTTGGTTGGGCCCAGCCTCGGTCCCTTAAGGGGCAAGCCACCCTGTATCAGTTACCCTTAAGTTACTGATAATATCTCAAATAAATGTTGAGCTTCTAAATAGTTCATATTTTTATAAATATCTCATTTTCCCCTAAATTACTGACATGTCCTTTTAATCTTAACTCAATTTTGCCTTAGCTTTATGCCTGAGAATTAGAACAAGTTCCTAATTCAGAGGGTTACTATGGATAAATTTATACAGCATCTATTTATCTTAAACATTTGCAATGCATTTATTATATCATACTAAGAAAGTGATACTCTTGCATGCAACATTAGGTGGAGCTAGACCTACTAGCTAAATAGTAAATGGACAATGTGACAATGTATACGGTGTGATACTATCTTCTTTTCTGATTCCTGTCTGTCAGCTCAACAGTGATGATGGGGCTGAATGAAATCTTTCCGCCACTTTCTGTTTTGTCCTAGCTTCATGGCTTTGTTCATCTTTAAAAAAAAATTGTTCTCTGTCATTCTTTACAGTGTCTATTCAATGCATCCTTGGTCTTCTACTGCTAGTTCCTTCCACGCTGGCGTGTATTGCCATGTATGGAACCTTTCCTAGGTCCATTCTTGACAGATGTCCAAACCATTGCAGTCATCTTTCTTGAATCTTCTGTAACAGGGTTATTTCTTATCCTAGCAAGGGTAGTTAGTAGTGACTGCTAGTGAAAGGGCACATCTGTCCCTGCAAGTGCACCAAGTTTCTTACAGCAAAGATTGCAAATAACTTACAAACTAAGTATAACATTGGCAGAAACAGTATTGCAGCAAGCTAGTGGATAACTTAGAAAGGTGTTGCAGAATGATTATGATACACTGGTCAACCACAAAACCAAGGAGTTGTGGTCTAACACTTGGCAAATATTGGACAATAGAAACCAAATATATTAGCATCTAACTGACCAACAAATATATCGCATTTTCTTCATGTACCTGTGCATGTTTATTAAAATCCATTTGTTCAGAACATATCCTGTTTTCTAGATTATCTGCTTATTCTCTTAGGGCCTGGATTCTTATTTACAATAAAAGATACTTTACATCTTTTTGGGAGTAAATTATGTTTAGGGTGTTCTGGAGCTTTATTTTATTCTTCGTCTGAAGATGGCACCTCCAGGGACATAATGCTCTTTACCATCCAACTGTGACATTGGTTCAGAACTGCTTTAGATGAAAGCGTACCATCGGGGCGGCGGGTGAACCCCCCATTCGGGGAGGCTAACCCACCCAGGGGCGGCTCTATGTTTTTTGCCACCCCAAGTATGGCAGTCAGGTGGCCTTCGGCGGCATGCCTGTGGGCGGTCCGCTGGTCACGCGGATTCGGCGGCATTTCTGCGGGTGATCTGTTGGTCCCACACCCTCAGTGTACCCGCCGCCGAAGCCGCAAGACCGGTGCGCCTCCCGCAGGCATGCCACCGAAGGCTGCCTGAATGCCGCCCTCATGGCGACCAGCACGCCGCCCCGCATGCGCTTGCTGCGCTGGTGCCTGGAGCCACCCTTGAACCCACCAGCCCTGCCCCTTCTGCCCACAGCACCCCCACACGGTGGGAACCCTGAGGCCTCCTCCCCCAGTGGCCAGAGGAGCCCTGCCCCAGCCACCCCAAGTCACTGGCTGTGTTGAGCCACAGGCCAGCCCTAGCGCTGGGCCAAGCCACTGGCCTGAGCCCTGGCCGCTGGCAGGCCCGAGCCCCAGGCTGCTGGCTGGAGCTGAGCCCCTGCAGGCTTCAGGGGAGGAGAGGCAGGGCCTCAGGGTAGAACATGGGTAGAGCCATGACCTGGGGTAGGGGAGGCTTAGCCTGCCCTGCCCTTTGATACCCACCACCCATGCATACCATTTACTGATCACCAAACCCATATCCTGTAGAATGGAGTTTTTCTAGCTGTTAGGGGGAGCACTAGGAGAAGTTTAGCTCCAGTCACTCCAGCAGCGAAGGGATTGTTTTGTCCATCACTACCTACAACCCCTACAGGGTGTAGCAAGATGTCCCAGTGCAGCCCAGCCCATATGAAGGGCAGTGTGGTCACAACTGTTAGATGGACAGTGATGGACAATCCCCGTCATTACAGCTGTCTCCTGCACAATAGGCTAGGTGGGGAAGGTCTCCCAAGCAATAAAAAGATGAAAGAGAAGGGAACACTGATTTGGAAGTAACATTTTTTACCCCCACAGGCCACAGCACACAAAAAGTAAATGTTTTAGTATTCACAGATGCCATAGATAGGGGGAACGGGTCAGTGCAGGCACACTAATGCCCTTACGATTGACAGGAATGGGGAGGAAACTCCGAGCTGCACAGCTCTGAGAACAGGCCTTCTCACTCTTTTGCTTGTGTTCTCAGATTGGGGTCTGCACGAAAAAGCACCCAGGTTCCTGCAAACAAAAAACACCAAAGCAATGTATGTTGCTTATGGGCATGCTGCATGGAAGCAGTTGTAGTGCATGTGATGGCAACTGGAAGGCAAGTGAGGCTGCGGTTGCCCTCATAGGTCCATGCTCTGAGGGAGCTGCGCCTGGCTTCTGGAGACTAGGAGCCAGCACGTGCACAGCCAATGTCAGTAGGTCTCTTCTGCAGGTTAGCGTTCTGCACAGGGGGCATGCCAACAGCCCGGCTCTCTCTCTGATCTCTGTACTTGTGCCCCGGGGCCAGCAGAGAGCTCTGCACCCCCGCAAGCAGCAGAAGAGTCAGCGAGTCATCCAGCCCCACCGGCTACTCTCTCCCAGGCTCATTATATCTTTTGCACCCGCTCCGGCCACGCCTCCGCCCTTCAGGTTGCAGCTGCACTGAATGCAAAGGGAGGAAACTCCGCCCCGGGCACTGGTTGCAGCCTTCTCTCCCCCGAGCCAGCTTTAGAGACCTGTGGTCTCCATAGAGATAGTAACACCCTGCACCTTTCAGTCGCCCTCCGGGAACAATACATGGGGGGAAAGGGAGTGAGAAAGGCAGAGAGAAGCAACAGCAGGAAATCGCTGCGAGCTGATCTCTGGGCAACTTCCCCGGGATTTTAAACGCACATGCTGCTGCTGCCGGACACAGGCAAACTTCGCCTGGCGACACTGCCGGATGTCACTCCGCGGCCACCCCAGATCGATAGCCTTTTATTAACGCCACCAAAGCTTCTCGGAGCCGCTGCCCAGGACGGACACCCGCTGCCCGTGCGGAGGCGCCCCGGCCGCAAGAGCCAGGAGGAGTAGCTGGAAAGGGGAAGCCCCGCTCTGGGGAAGGAGCGGGCTGAAGGGGATGCGTTTGCAAGGGATCGTGCCTGTTCGAGAGGGAGGCGAGCGCTGATCCCAGAGTCGCCGCCGCCGCGAGGATTTACACCGGCCGCTGCTCGATTCAGTTTCTAGAGGGCAGCGTGCGCTGCCGAGGCGGGTCCCGCTGGCGGGGAGCGGGTCCCCGGGAGCTGCGGGCGGGGAGAGGCTGCCAGGCAGCAGGCGTGCGATTGTTTTTAGAGCAGCAGGTTTATGCTAATCACCCTGCCGGGAGCAGCAGTGGGAGGAGGAGAGGAGCCATTTTGAACTCACTTTAAACTTTAAGGTGGAAAAGTTGCAATTCTCCAGTCGGGTCCCGAGCGATGTTCCCTGCCGCGGGGTTCTGAGGGAGCGGCCCCGCCTGGTAGAGGAGGACAAGGCCAGGGTCCCCCGGCCCCGCTGCTCATGGCTGAGGGCGGATGAGCCGCCCAGGGGGGTGGATGGATTTTGCAGGAGCCCTTTGGCTGGGATCGCTGCTGACGCCTAAGACTCGGAGATGCTGCCGGTGCCCGCCGCCGCCTGGCTCTCGTGGCTGGCTCTGCTCATCCGGCTGGTGCCCGTGGGGGGCTGGGAGCTGCACCTCTCCTGTGGCGCCGGGCGCGCCGGGGACCTGCTGCTGGATGTCTCCCTGGGGCCCGGCTGGCTGTACAGCTTGGACGAGGCGCTGACGGCCCGCCGCGTGCGGGAGGCGGTGGAGGTGACGGCCGCGGGGCAGCTGAGGCGCAGCGGGGCGGCCGGCGGGGGCTGCCCGGCGAGCCCCTCGGGCTGCGGGCGGCTGGAGCGCAACCCGCTGCCTCTCCACGTGCGCATCGCCGCCCAGCGCTCCGGGGCGCTGCTCTTGCTCCGCCTGGCCGTCTACGTGCACAGCCCGGGCTGCCCCCGCCGGTACCGGGGGGCAGGCAGTAGGGGCCAGGCGCGGCCCCGGCTCGCCGCCCGGCTCTCCCCGGGGCAGCTCCCAGCCCCGCTCTGCTTCCCCGCAGCCAGCCGGCACCTGCCCCCAGGGCCCGCCGGGGACCTGCGCTCTGCCCTCACGGCCCTGACCAGCTTCCCTGCCTGCAGGTGCCCGGACCACCTCCCCCGGGGCTGCGGCGAGCAGGAGGCAGGGGGGAGGGCTCGGTGCTGCCTGGAGCCCGCCGGGGAGTCCCCTCTGCAGCTGGTCTGTGCCTTGAGGAGGATAGGGGGGGAGATCCTCCTTCAGCTGGGGCTGGAGCGCGCCCCGTCCGCCTGGGCAGAGGGTGGGGAGGAGGAGGAGGGGACTTGGGGGGAACGGGAGCCCATGGGTGCGAGGGGAGAGGAGAGAGGGGCGGTGGGTGCAGGGCAGGGGAAAGCGCTTACCCTGCAGCTGGGGCCCCAGGGATTGTGGACAGAGGAGCGGGCCCGGAGCGGCTGGGATCCTTCTCTCCAGGGGGCTCGGAGGAGGAGAAGTGCGAACAGCCCTCCGCAATTCCAGCTGCCCAGCTACCAGGTCTCCATCCCCGAGAACGAGCCTGCGGGTACCCGGGTGATCGCCCTGCGGGCCCAGGACCCGGACGAGGGGGAGGCCGGCCGGCTGGTGTACTCCATGGAGGCGCTCTTCGACGAGCGTTCCAATGACTACTTCTCCATCGACCCAGAGACGGGCAGCGTGGTCACCACGCGCAGCCTGGACCGGGAGACCAAGGACACCCACGTGCTGAAGGTGACTGCAACTGACCAGGGTTCCCCCCGCCGCCGCTCAGCCACCACCTACTTGACTGTGACTGTGAGTGACACCAATGACCATGGGCCAGTGTTTGAGCAGCCTGTGTACCGGGAGACCATCCGGGAGAACCTGGAGGTGGGTTATGAGGTGCTGACTATCCGTGCCACGGATGGGGATGCCCCGGCCAACGCCAACATGCTTTACCGCCTGCTGGAGCCAGGTGCTGGGGATGGTGTCTTTGAGATCGACCCTCGCTCTGGAGTAGTGAGGACCCGAGCCCCTGTGGATCGTGAGGAGGTCTCTGAGTACCACTTGGTAGTAGAAGCCAATGACCAAGGAAAGGAACCAGGTCCTCGTAGTGCCACAGCTACAGTACACATCACTGTGGAGGATGAGAATGACAACTACCCACAGTTCAGTGAGAAGCGCTACTTGGTTCAGGTGCCAGAGGATGCCCCGGTGAACAGCCAAGTGCTGCAGGTGCAAGCGACTGACCGGGACAGGGGCAGCAATGCCCAGGTGCACTACAGCATTGTGAGTGGCAACCTCAAAGGCCAGTTCTATATCCACTCTTTCTCTGGTGCCATCGACCTGATCAATCCTTTGGACTATGAGACCATCCGTGAGTACACACTGAGAATCAAAGCCCAGGATGGGGGCAGGCCCCCTCTGATTAACTCTAGTGGGATGGTATCAGTGCAAGTGGTGGATGTGAATGACAATGCCCCTATTTTTGTCAGCACCCCCTTCCAGGCCACAGTGCTGGAGAACGTGCCATTGGGCTACTCTGTGCTGCACGTTCAGGCAGTGGATGCTGATTCTGGAGACAATGCCCGTCTGGAGTACGAACTTATAGACTTGTCCCCATCTCCTGGTGTGGTGTCCCCAGGTGGGGAGACTGGGTTTCCATTCCAGATCAATAACAGCACTGGATGGATTACAGTGTCGGCTGAGCTGGACCGAGAGACTGTTGAGAACTATCACTTTGGGGTAGAGGCTAGGGACCATGGAATGCCTGTCATGACTTCTTCAGCTAGTGTGTCCATCACAGTCCTGGATGTCAATGATAACAACCCGACTTTCACTGAGAAGGTCTATCAGCTCAGGCTGAATGAGGATGCGGCAGTGGGCAGCAGTGTCTTGACTCTGATAGCAGTGGACAGGGACATTAACAGTGTAGTGACCTACCAGATCACCAGTGGCAACACTAGGAACCGCTTTGCCATCACCAGCCAGAGTGGGGGTGGGCTGATCACCCTGGCCTTGCCCCTGGATTACAAGCAGGAGAGGCAGTACGTGCTGACAGTTACTGCATCAGATGGCACACTCTTTGATACTGTCCAGGTCTTCATCAATGTCACCGATGCCAACACACACCGCCCGGTCTTCCAGAGCTCCCATTACACAGTGAGCGTCAGTGAGGACAAGCCCATTGGCACCTCTATTGTGACCATCAGTGCCACCGATGAAGACACAGGGGAAAATGCCAGGATCACATACATTTTGGAGGATAACATTCCTCAATTCCGCATTGACCTGGACACGGGCACTATCACCACCCTGATGGAACTAGACTACGAGGACCAAGCCTCTTACACTTTGGCCATTACAGCTCGTGACAATGGGATCCCTCAGAAATCTGACACCACCTACGTGGAGATCCTCATCCTGGATGCCAACGACAATGCCCCTCGCTTCCTGCGTGACCGTTACCAGGGCTCAGTCTTTGAGGATGTGCCTCTCTCCACCAGCGTCCTTCAGCTGTCTGCCAACGACCGTGACTCAGGCCTCAATGGCCGCCTCCTTTACACCTTCCAGGGTGGTGATGATGGTGATGGAGACTTTTACATTGAGCCCACTTCTGGAGTGATACGTACCCTGCGCAAGCTGGATCGTGAGAACGTGGCTGTCTACAGCCTGCGGGCCTTTGCCATGGATAGAGGCAGCCCACCTCTCAAAGCCTCTGTAGATATCCAGGTCACTGTGCTGGACATCAATGATAACCCGCCTGTCTTTGAACAGGATGAGTTTGACATCTTTGTGGAGGAGAACAGCCCAGTGGGCTCCATCGTGGCACGGATCAGTGCGGCCGACCCAGACGAAGGGACCAATGCACAAATCATGTACCAGATTGTGGAGGGTAACATCCCTGAGGTTTTCCAGCTTGACCTGCTCAATGGTGACCTCACAGCCCTGATGGATCTGGATTATGAGAGCCGAACGGAATATGTGATTGTGGTGCAGGCCACCTCAGCCCCTCTTGTCAGCCGAGCCACCGTGCACATTCGCCTGTTGGATCAGAATGACAACCCACCTGTGCTGCAGGACTTCCAGATCCTCTTCAACAACTATGTGACCAACAAGTCTAACAGCTTCCCCTCTGGGGTGATTGGCAAGATCCCAGCCTATGACCCTGACGTGTCCGACAGACTGGCCTACACCTTTGTTCAGGGCAACGAGTTGAACTTGCTACTCTTGGACTCTGCCACTGGGGAACTCAAACTCAGTCGAGATCTGGACAACAACAGACCCCTGGAGGCTCTCATGAAAGTGTCAGTCTCAGGTAAGAAAACTTGGCAGGGGATAATATTGTATGAGAACTTTGTTTATTAGACCAACATACTGGTACAGGCAGCAAGAACTTTTAATTTCCTGGGGCAGTGGCTTATTTGTGAAATTTCTGGAGAGGAGCCACAAAAATGTATCAAAGCTATGTGCTGTGGACTGAAGTGAATAGTATGTTGAGATGTATTTAGCCAGTGATATTTTGAATCACGGAGAAAAACATATAGAGGTTGAGGGCAAAATATATTCCCTGGGCATAGTTAGTTATTTAGGCTAAAATTTTCAGATGTGGATGCATAGAGTTAATAAGTGACCTGATTTTTAAAGATGCTAAGAATGCACAGCTCTCATTGATTGACTTACATTTAATGTTTAGACTTACTTCTATGATTTGTTATACATAAGAACAGTAAAAAGTAAAATTAGCGGGTGCACTGTACATAAGAGTTGGGGGTTTCCCTTTTTTTTTTTTTTAACACCAAGGTAAAACAGATTTGATTATTTCCTTTTGAATGTTGGGAAAGTTGGCTGGTAAATCTCCTTTAGATTTTGGGTCAAACTTTCTACTAGTGTAACATGGGCAAAACTCCATTGAAGTTGGTGGAGCGTCACCCATTTGCATCAGCAACCAAAATTTTTGCCTTTTGTTTACATCCTTAGAAAATGACTCCTGAAAAAACAGTCAGTTACAGCTGTCTAACACAGTTAATTTCAGTGGTGTTGCTTTGGTGTAACTGAGGATGTTTGTTGGCACATAGTGTCACCAAAATAAGCATTGAAAAATTTCTTTTTTGTCTTTGAGGCTTACCTAATCTAGTATGTAGTCACAGTAATTTATTTATTGTGTTAGTAGGTACAGTGGCTTTAAATTATACAGTGAATTGACATATGAATGCAAGTCCTAAATTGTTACTGTTTTGTTTTACAATACAGTATTTTAAATAACTTGTGAGACAATCCCCATACAAAAGAACTGCACTTTCTCCTCAGTTTCTTGGTTTTTATGGAATTACAGTTTGTAATTATGGTACATACAGTGCATTAATAATGCAATGACTAATCTCCTCCCCAAATTCCACTATGCTGTCTTTATCATGGGCCTGATCCTGCACAACTCCCGTTGACTTCAAAGGCCCATCACGAGCAACATTTGCCCTGCAGCCTA